TTTTTTTTTTTTTTTTGGTTTATTTTTTTTTCCGAGATACAATTTCTCTGTGTAGCTTTGGAGCCTGTCCTGGATCTCACTTTGTAGACCATGTTGGACTCGAACTCACAAAGAGTCTCCTGGCTCTGTCCTCCTGAGTTCTGGGATTAAAGGTGTGCACCACCACTGCCTGGCCAAAATACTTTCATGAATTAAGATATGAGTTGGTATTTTTGTTTTTTGTTTTCCAAGACAGTTTCTCTGTGTAGCAGCTCTGGCTGTTCTGGAACTCACTTAGTTTACCACTGAGATCCTCCTGCCTCTGCTTCCCAGATGCAGGGATTAAAGGCTTGGCTGTGTTGTTGTTGTTTTTTTTTTAAATGTATGGACATTTGTGTATATATAACTCTGTGCACCAGGGTACAGTGTCCTCAGAGGCCAGAAGAGGTTGTCACATCCATGGGGACTGGAGTTAGACAGTTGTGAGTTCCCATGTGGGTACTGTACGTTGAACCTGGGTCCTTTAGAAGAACAGATAGTCTCTTAATCGCTGAGCTGTCTCTCCAGCCCCCTAGAGATGAGTTTGTTTAATGGATTTATGAGCATATCTCACTTTTCTTTTTGTCTAGGTGACTGAAAAGTTTTTGTTGTGGGGAAATTGATGCAGTGTTTATTCTTGCTTCTTTAAACTCTTCTGGGTGATGTGAAAAGGTAGAAGGAAGGCATAGACGGCTCACTGTTGTAGCAGTATTGAGGCCTGAGGCGAGTGGAAGTTTGAGAGTATTGTGAAGAAAGCTTGTTAAAGAGCTTTTCATCAAGAATATGAGGCGAGGGCTGACGAGATGGCTCATCGGGTAAAGATGCTTGCTGCCAAGGCTGATGACCTGAGTTTGATCCTTGGTATCTACATGGTGGAAGGAAGCACTAAGTCACTCAGACCAAATAACTATGTAGCAAGCTCCATGACCTTTAAATTTTTGCCTGGGACCGGCACTGGTTTCATAATTAATCATCATAGATAAAGCAAACCTTACAATCTGTCATTGAAAATAGATTTCAAATTCATTTGTAAAGGCAAACATTCTTGTTCTAGGAGAATGTCTGTAATGACCTTAACTGAAGTCTGGAGGTAGGGAAATATTGGTGAAATTATTAAGGCCACTCCACGTAGTTAAAAGGAGATTTATTTAATGGCGTAACTTACAAATGAAGGAATAGGTAGGTTGAGGGTTCTGGGAAAGACGCAGCAGTAGTGTCCTCTGGAGAACTCTTCTCCATCCACCTCTAGCGCCCCAGCTCCCAGCAGCAAGAGTGTGTGCGCGCTGCAAGTCCCAATCTCGGGTCTTCAGGCCCTCCCTTGGCCCCGCCTTGTGGGCGTGATAGTTACCAAAACCTCAATGGGGGTTGGAACTTCCAGACCAAAGCTGGAATGGCTACCCACTACAGGGAAATTTCTGGTCCTAGCAGCTGATACATGACCTTGTGAAAATCACTTAACATCTGGATTATCAGGGAAATGAAGAGTAGACTTGACTGCCTCTTTTGCTTAGTGATATTTCAGAGTGGTTTTTTATTTTCATTTTTTATGTGCATTGGTGTTTTGCCTTCATGTATGTATGTCTGTATAGGGTGTTGGATCCTCTGAAACTGGAGTCACAGCTGGTTCTGAGCTACCATGTGGGTGCTAGGAATTGAACCTGGGTCCTCCAGAAGAGCAGCTAGTGCTTTCAACCACCAAGCCATCTCTCTAACCCTTTGGATATTTATTGAAGTACTACATAGTATAGAGGAATGTACCAATTTCTTAGCATTAATTTTGTGAATTTGAAAAAGTACTCCACCTTAAAACTGATGGACATTTCTTAGCCTCACAAGTAATTTTCAACTTAATATTAAGAAGTCATTAATAAAATGACAAGACATTTTCAAAAAAATATTTTCAGTTTGCCTGATCTGTAGCGTGAGTTCCAGAAAAGCCAGGTCTACAAGAGAAATCCTGTCTCAAAAAAACCAAACCAAACCAAACCACACACACACACACTACACATCACATAACTATATAACACACACACACACACACACACACACACACACACACTCACTTCATCCATATCATGAATATATCTTGAGTTTGGCTTTTCAGAACACCACACAAAACTCTTAAAGTTGTGATTGGCTTGCTTTTTGTTTAGTCTTTGTTCCATTTTACCATTGTTGGAAGTCAGTTGTGCTTAGCATTGGAAATTAGATAGCCACCAGGGGGCTTCAGTGAGGAGTTAGGAAGGTTTCACTGATCTCATCCTAGTGAATTGTCTTGATGTTATTTTTGTTTACTTAATGAGCTTGTCGATCCTGTCATGTTGGATTACTTCCCTTACAGCATCTCTCAGGAGAACTTTGAATTTACATAAGAACCCATTGCATTAGCAGTTCTCCAGAAAGTTCAGTTTCTCATTTCATTACCTTATGTTCCAATTAGCAACCTTAATTTAAAAAAGAAAAACCTTACTACTGAAGTGATAGGAAACCTGCAGTTCTTCATGTGCGTTCTATCAAAGCTAGAATGTTGTGGGTACCCAACGGCATGCGCTCTCTGATAGAGAATGCTACGTTTTGTGACTTTGTACATCTTATTACTGTTTGGGTGGCAGGCAGAACTGGGGATTCAGAGCTTTCTTAAATGTGTTAGGCCAACTCTATGCTTTCCCCTTTTACAGTATCTGTTTTTCCTGTATGAGTGATAATAAATTGGCTAGTTGTGCTTAATGAGAAAGAGCAAGCTAGATGTTTGGAGCCTTACAGCTAGCTGTTAGGAACAAGACTTTGTTGTTTTGTGGTTTGGTTCTTTTCTAGACAGGGTTTCTCGGTGTAACAGTTCTGTCGGTCCTGGAACTCTAGAACAGGCTGGCCTTAAACTCAGAGATTTGCCTGCCCCTTCCTTGAGTGCTGGGATTAAAGGTGTGTACCACCACTGCCTGGCAGGAACAAGCTTTCTTGTGCTTGGAATTTCACCTCTTTTTACTAGCATAGTCACAGTATTTTACCTTACTCTTTCCAACTATTCAGGGAGAGATTTGTACTTTATATTTTTGGTTGTGAGCCTAGCCTTTAACGGCTGATCCATCTCTCCAGCCCGAGATTTGTACTTTAAAGATACCTATGATGTTAAAAAAAAAAAAAAAAAAAAAAAAAAGACATTCCAGGGCTATGTATTGAGTATTGAGGAATTCTGAATATCTACTAGGAAGGTAGAAGAGAAAGCTTTTTCTTTTTTTTTTTTTTTTTCCCTCCCCGGAGCTGAGGACCGAACCCAGGGCCTTGTGCTTGCCCACTGAGCTAAATCCCCAACCCCATAGAAAGCTTTTTCAAAAGAACACTTTTTTGTTTGTTTTGTTTTGTTCTTTTGAGACAGGGTCCCACTACATATCCCTGGCTGACGTGGAACTCACTGTGTAGACCAAATTGGCTGGCCTGAAACTCATAGGGATCTGCTTGCCTCTTCTTCCCAAGTATTGGGACTGAAGGTGTATACCACCGTACTGGTCCTAATATAATTTTTAAGAACCAAGTTGATTCTTCATCATAGTATAACCGTATTAAATGTTGAAGTATGGTGAGCAAGCATATTACGGACCAGCTCTTAAAAAAAATGTGGAGCTGGAGAGATGGCTCAGAGGTTAAGAGCACTGGCTTGTCTTCTAGAGGTCCTGAGTTCAATTCCCAGCACCCACATGGTGGCTCACAACCATTTTTAGTGGGGATCTGATGCATAAAGGCATACACTCTATCTAGAGTACTCGTGTACATAAAATAAATAACTAACTAATAAATGAATCTTAAAAGTGTTGAGGTATGGTAGTAAACGTGCTGTGGACGGTAAATAGAGCAAACTGGGAATCTGAAAGGAGGGAATTGAAGCCTTTCCACTTCCAGTGTGTGGTTAATTGGAAGAAGTGTGTGGACATCAAGTTACGTATATTGTCTCTCTTGCAGGTCGAGCTATGTTTAGAGTGCATCGAATGGGCCAAATCAGAGAAAAGAACTTTCTTACGCCAAGCATTGGAGGTAGGTGCCCACCTCAGCACTGACTTCAGATCTGTAGTCTTAGATAGATAAGATATGAGGATAAGTACCACCCTGATGGAGGAAGCATCTTGAGGAGCTCTGTATCCCCCTGTCACCTGAAGATTGCTGATAGTGCTTCCACTTACAGGAATGTCCCTGGTAGAAGTATTTATTTTTTTAAAAATGATATCATCTTATTCTATAGCTCAGGATGGCTTCAGATATTTGGCAAACTTCTTGTCTCAGTCTCTTAAATTCTGGGATTATAGATGTTAGCCACTGTGCCTGAGTCTAAATTTTTCTTTCTTTTTTTTTCCCCTTTATACAAAGAGAAACAGGGTTTCTCTTTGTAGCCCTGGCTGTCCTGGAACTCACTCTGTAGACCAGGCTGGCCTTGAACTCAGAAATCTGCTTACTTCTGCCTCCTGAGTGCTGGGATCACAGGCATGTACCACCACGCCTGGCTAAATTTATCCTTTAAATTATTTTTATTTCTTTTTGAAGTTTTAAGGCACTTTTGCTGTTTGAGTATAGAAATAAGCAGCAGTGTGGTATAGTTAACAGTCATTTGGCCATAGTAAGAAATAGTACTGGGTGTAGTTGACTTATTCAACTTCATGTTCTCATCAGAACATGTATATTCAACAGTAATAGTTTGGTAACTGTCATTCTTTGATTTCTTTCTGTGGATTTCCCCCTGTTCCCTTCAAGCAATGCCTTTTCTCTTTCCTAGGCAAGGCTGGTGTCTTTGTATTTTGATACTAAGAGGTACCAGGAAGCATTGCATTTGGGTAAGTAAACTGGTAGAAATTAATAAGACATCTAAGCTAGCTAAATGATATTCCAGGCTTGGTTATTCTTATTGACTGTTAATAATCATATTTTACTTGTGTCTAAGAAGCATTTCAGGTAGTTTACATTCATAAAATTTGTCCCAGTAAAGTTCTGTTTCAAAGTTTTGAAAAACTGGGTTGGAAGTTTGCTCAGTGCTAGCATTTACCTAGCATCACTGAGAATAAAGTTTTGGGCAGTCAGCTGGGGTTAGTCTTAAATTTACAGGACAGACATCAGTTTAAAGCTTTCAGTTTAGAACAGTAAAAGCCTTATCATTGAAATAGTAGCTGAAATTTTTTTCCCCTTTTTCTTTTTTTTTCGAGACAGGGTTTCTCTGTGTAGCTTTGCACCTTTCCTGGAACTCGCTCTATAGACCAGGCTGGCCTCGAACTCACAGAGATCCGCCTGCCTCTGCCTCCTGAGTGCTGGGATTAAAGGTGTGTGCCACCACTGCCCAGCAATTTCTTTTTTTTTTTTTTAGTTTCTTTATTTTATATATAATACCTTATTAAATTTCAGGTTTAATTTTTTTTGTAATGACTATATTTAATTTAATTTATTTATTTGGTTTTTCAAGATAAGGTTTCTCTGTGTAGCCCTGGCTGTCCTTGAACTCCCTTTGTAGACCAGACTGGCCTCAAACTCACAGAGATCTGCCTGCCTCTGCCTCCCCAGTGCTGGGATTACAAGCATGTGCCACCATGCCTGGCTTATATTTTTTGTTAATATTTATTTGTATTTAAGTGTATATGTCTGTGTGAACATTTCTACATCTGCACATACCTGCGGAGGTCAGAAGTGTTAGATCCCTGGAGCTGGAGTTACAGGTGGTTCTGAGCTGCCTGATGTGGGTCCTGGGAACTAAACTTGGATCCTCTGGAAGAGCATTGCATACTCTTAACTGTTGAGCCATCTGTCTCCATCCCTCCTATATTACTATTTGTAGATACTTAAAATCTATTTTATTTCTATTACATATTTATTTAGAGATAGCATGGTGTGCATGTGGAGGTCAGTGAACAACTGGAGTTGGTTCTCTTCTTCCAACTTTGGATCCTGGATTGAACTCAGGTTTGGTGACAGGTCGTGAAGTCTTTTGAAATTTGAAAAATTGAGCTGGGTATAATGGATCATTCCTAACATCTTAGCAGGCAGGAAGATCAGCTCAAAGTCATCCTTGGTTATAGCTAGTTTAAGGCCACACGATATGAAACTTGGTAAAACCTCCACAAGTGGGGTTGGCTCAGTTGGTAAAATGCTTGCTGTGCGTGCACAGCGATTGATTCCCAGAATTCAAGTAAAAAGCCTGGGAGGCAGAGACAGAAGACTCCCCAAGGCTTACTAGCCAGTCAGCCATCCTAACCTGTGAGCCAGCCCCATGTCTCATTGAACGACTCTGTCTCAAAAAAACAAGCCAAACAACTCTAGAGGAATGCCTGAAATTAGTGGTGGCAAGTTGTATAGCTTAGTGAAATATCCTAAAACAAACAACCCACTGAGTTATAGAACTTTTGTTGTTGTTGGTTTTTTTTTTTTTTTTTTTTTTTTTTTGTTTTTTAAGACAAGGTTTCTCTGTGTAGCCTTAGCTGTTCTTGGCTGTCTTGGAATTCATTCTGTAGACCAGGCTGGCTTTGAACTCACAGAAATCTCCCTGCCTCTACTTCCCAAGTACCATCACTGCCAGGCAGAATTATATAACTTTTATTTAATTATTTTTAAATTTATTTATTTATTTTTTAAAGATTTATTTATTTATTATGTATACAGTGTTCTGCCTACATATATGCTTGCAGGCCAGAAGAAGGCACCAGATCTCATTATGAATGGTTGTGAGCCACCATGTGGTTGCTGGGAATTGAACTCAGATCCTCAGGAAGAGCAGCCAGTGAGTGCTCTTAACCGCTGAGCCATCTCTCCAGCCCCTATATAGCTTTTATAAGGTTAGTTTTGATGACTAGGGAGATAGCTCTCTCAGTAAAATGCTTGCCATGCCAACTTGAGGACCTGTGTTTGAACTCCAGAACACATGTAAAAAGCTAGGTGTGGTGACACACACTTCTGATCCCAGTGCTGGGGAGCAGAGACAGGACAATCTACAAGGAGGAAAGAGAGAGAATGGCCTCCCACAGGTTGGCCTGGCTTCCACATCCATATTTTATACACAAACACACAAAAGTCAAGAAGTTGAGTGTTAATATTTTTGGGAGCTGGAGTGTTTCTCATTATTATTTTAATGTTTTTATTAGTATATATTGATTATGTATAGAGTTTCGTCATGACATTGTCGTGAGGTATATGATATATGTCAGTTGTGTTCCCCTCCTCCTGTTACTCTTGTCCCTCTTCTACTCATGCTAATCTCTTTCCTTGTCCCAGCTAGCTTCCCTTCTCCTCTTAGGTTTTCTTGTTTTGTAATCGAGTGCTTTTCATTAAGGCTGCTGTTAGGATAATGGTGAGGGTTTGTTTACAGGACGATGAGCACCTCACCAGTAGGCACACCATTGAAGAAAATGTTTGTTTTTCCCTCATCAGTCATTAATTGCACTTAAATCCTCCTTCTGTGATCTTTAAATAGGCTAGAAATTTTCCATTGCTTGCTTCTTTTAGATTTACTTTTATGCATATCAGTGTTTAGCCTGCATGTATGTATATATTTATGTATATATGTGTGCATGCCTATGGATGGTGTAAGTCACCATGTGTATACTGGGACTTCTGCAAGAACAGCAAGTGTTCTTAACCACTGAACTATCAATCCAGTTCCAATTTCCACCTCCTCTTTTTTTTTTTTTTCTTTTTTTCTTTTTAAATGAAAGGTGACTTGGAACCAATGTCTTATTTATTTTGTTTGTTTGTTTTATTTTAATTATTACGATTTTTTTTTTTATTTTTAAATTTCGTGTGTTTCACCTGCATGTATGCCTGGTGCCCTCTGAGTCCAGAAAGAGAGTCAGATCCCCTGGAACTGGAGTTGTGGATGGTTGTGAGCCATCATGTGGGGCTTGGGAATCGAACCTGGGTCCTCCGGAAGAGTAGTCAATGCTCTTAACCACTGAGCCAATTCTCTAGCCCTCCACCTCCTCTTTTTGAGACAGGTTCTCATAAGTTCAGGCTCCTCCTGCTTTACCCACCCCCCCTTTTGCTGGGATTACAGGCATGTGGTAACATGCATGTCTCTACTTACTCTTTATAATAAGATCCCATTTCCCTTATGATTTATTAAGTTAAAAATATTGGCAGTATTGAATGTTTATCCTGCAAAAATGTCAATTCCATTTATTTATTATTTTTTAAATTTATATATATATATATTTGGAGGCAGGGTTTCTCTGTATATACTGGCTGTCTTGGAACTTGCCTTGTAGACCAGGCTGGTGTGTTTTTAATAAAATCTCAATCATTTTATTTCATCAGTAAAGACTTGGGAGCCAGATCTTGGGGTGAAAGCCTGCTAGTTCAGAGAGGCAGGGGAAACACCCAGTTCACCTTTCCTCCTCTACTGTCATTCCGGAAAGAGACCAAAAGAATACCCCTCCCTTCTCCTTCCTATGTGTCTCTTTCTCCCTCTTACTCTCTGTGATTTTTTTCTTGTTCACTTCCTGTCAGCTGGTTGCTTGCTCCGCCTCTTGACCTATGGTTGACTTTATTTAATCCTGTTTATAATATTTAAGCAGAAAGCTCTTGGATGAAAGGTGTGTGCTAGGGCTGAGCCACACCACAACCAGAAACAGGTTTTTCCAGTAAATAACACAATCTCGGGGTTCATAGTGTGATCAAATATCTTGCAACAGACTGGCTTTGAACTCCACCTGCCTCTGCCTCCCAAACGCTGGGAATAAAGGTGTGTGCCATCTTGGCTGGCCTATGTATGTATGTATGTATGTATGTATTTTTGAGATGGGTTTCTCTGTTTAGCCCTGACTGTCTTGGAACTTGCTCTGTAGACCAGGCTGGCTTCAAACTCAAGAGTTCTGCCTGCTTCTGCCTCTCAAGTGCTAGAATTAAAGGCATGTGCCACCATGTCTGGCCAACAGGTTTTTAAGGAGATAGTAGTGTTTTTTTTTTTAAGCTAGCTTTAGTGAGATATAATTCAGATTCATAACATATCTGTGTGTGTGTGTGTGTGTGTGTGTGTGTGTAAGTGTAAGTAAGTGCCAAAGATCAATCTTGGGTGTTGTTTCTCAGGATTGTATACTTTTTTTTTTTCCTGGAGACAAGGTCTTGTGGAGCTCTAGCGGGCCTAAAACTTTTCTATGTAGAGTAGGTAGGCTGGCCTCAACTCAGAAGATCCACCTGTGTCTCTGCCTCTGCCTCCTGAGTGTTAGAACTAAAGGTGTGTGGTCCCATACCTGGCTTCATCTTGTTTTTGAGACAGGGACTTGGAGCTCATTGATTAGGGTACACTGGCTGACAGGTGAGCCCCTGGGGTCCTCCAACACTGGGATTAGAAGTGTATGTCATCATGCCTCGATTTTTACATTGTTCTGGACTCTGGGGGTTGAACTTAGGTTCTCAAGTTTGTGTGGCAAGCACTTTATGAATTGAGTTAGTCCCCAGCCCCCAAAATTTACCTTCCATAGTTACATAATTCAGCAGGTGTTTTTTTTGTTTGTTTGTAAAAAGTATATTCACTAAGTTGTGCAATGACCACTACTAATTTCAGAACATTTCCATCACTTCAGAAAGAAGCCATCAGCTGTCTTTATTCATTAATTCTTCATTCCTCTCCTCATTTCCTAAACCCTGGACAACTAGTATTTGCTTTCTGTACAGATCTTCCTGTTTGGGGCAGTTCATATGAATGGAGTCATATAATAGGTGGTCATCTTTTGCTTTGCATCATGTTCTCAGTATTCACCCATTTTGTCACATGTGTCAGTTGCTAAGTAATTGTCCCATGGATGTAGTGTGTATGTGTTTTCCCCTGAGTGTATATGCATATGTGTGGAGGCCAGAGGTGTCTTCCTCAGTCATTGTCCACGTTAGTTTTTAGACAAGGTCTCTCACCGAGTGTGGGTGTTCATGGTTTTAGCTAGACTCGATGGCCACTGAATCCAAGGGATCCTTTTACTTCTCTCTTGCAGTAACCTTTTATTTGTGTACTGGGGGTCTAAGCTTGTGTTAGTGTGGAAGCCTTTACAACTGAGCAGTCTCCTCAGCCCGTGGCTGTAGCATATTCATCACTTGACAGACTTTTGTTCCCTTCCCTTTTTGTTACTAGAATACTGCTGTTTCCAATGAACCCGTTTTTATTTTGAATACTGGCCTCCAGGTGGGGTTACTAGGTCAACTGAGAGCAATAGTTTTTTGAAGAGCAACCAAGCTGTTTCCCAAGTGGCAGAAACATCCTCATCAAAACTATCTTTTAGTATAGTTTTCTTTATGTATATAAAGTAGGATTTCCTTATGGTTTTGCATTTTTTAAAAGATGTATTTGTTTATTATGTATACAGTGTATCCCTGCAGGCCAGAAGAGGGCACCAGATCTCACTACAGATGGTTGTGAGCCACCTGTGGTTGCTGGGAACTGAACTCAGGACCTCTGAAAGAACAGCCTGTGCTCCTTAACCTCTGAGCCATCTCTCCAGACCAGTTTTGCATTTTTTTAAATATATTTTATTTTACTTTTATGTGCATTTGTGTTCTTGCCATGGGTGTGGGGATCCCCTGAAACTGGAGTTACAGACAGGTGTGAGCTGCCATGTGGGTGCTGGGAATTGAACTCAGGTCCTCTGGAAGAAGAGTCAGCGCTCTTAATCCCTGAGCCATCTCTTCAGCCCCAGTTTTGCATTTCTTTAATGATAAATAATGTAGAGCATCTTTACATGAGAAGTATCTATTCAGATCATGTATGTGGCATCTGTGTGAGCAGATATGTGGCAGTCAGAAGACAGTCCAAGAAAGTCAGTTCTTCCCTGCCGTTTGGTTTCTGGGGGTTGAGCTCGGGTTGGCAGACTAGCAGGCAGGTGTATTTACCAGTTGAACCACCTTTTTTGTTTGTTTTTCAAGATAGGGTTTCTCTGTGTAGCATTGGCTATCCTGAAACTCGCTCTGTAGACCAGGCTGTTCTCGAACTCACAGAAATCCTCTTGCCTTTGCCTCCTGAGTGCTGGGATTACATACTGGGTATGCATACTACCACATCTAGCTACCAGTTGAATTACCTTGCTGGCCCTGTTTTTATTTTTTTATTTCTATCACTTAGCACTGGTAATTTACAAATATTTAGTCCTATTAGTTAGGATTGATTCTTCATAAATATTTTCCCCCATTCTTGTGAGTTATTTCTTCACCTTTTCAGTTGTTCTCATTTTGTAGTACAGACTGGTCTTAAAGTGTGTGTGTGTGGTGTGCATGTGTGTGGGTATATATTTGTTCACATGTGTATGTGTATTCATTTGTGCATGTGTGTGCGGGTTTGTGAACAAACACATGTATGTGAGGGGTGCAGAGTTTGACACTGGGAATCTTTCTCAATTGCTTTGCACCTTATATGCTGAGGGAGTGTCTCTCACCTGAACCTGAACTTTTGCATTCAGCTTTGGGAATTCCCTGTTTCTACCTACCAAGTTTGGTTATAGGCGTGAACCAACGTGCCTGATGAATTTTTTTATTTTATTGATGGTATCCTTAAGTTTTGTGCCAGCAAATGGCCCAGCAGGTAGAGGTGCTTGCTTGCAGGCCTGAGGACCATGAGGTGGCAGGTGAGAACTGACTACCAGGAGTTGTCCTCTGACTTTCACATGCCTGCTGTGGCACGACTGGGCCTGGGCATGTGCATGCACATGTGTGCACAGTAAATAAAGTTCACTTAAATTATAATAACATCCTATTTATCCATTTCATTTTCTTTTGTTGCTTATCTTTTTTTAAAATTTATTATGTATACAAGTATTCCATCTGCATGCATGTATGCAGGCAGGCCAGAAGAGGGCACCATATCTAACTACAGATGGTTGTGAGCTACCATGTGGTTGCTGGGAATTGAACTCAGGACCGCTGTAAGAGCAGCCACTGCTCTTAACCTCTGAGCCATCTCTCCAGCCCCTTGTTGCTTATCTTATTGGTACAAAATTAATATAAACTCTCCAGTTGTCTGTCTTTCTTTTTGAGACAAGGTCATACTATGTAGTCTTGGGTGGCCTGAACTTAGAGATCTTCCTGCTTCTGCTTTCCCAGTGCTAGGATTAAAACCACTACACGGCTCTGTTTTAGAGGTTTTATAGCTATAGTTCGTTCGTTCGTTCGTTCGTTCGTTCGTTCGTTCGTTCGTTCGTTCGTTCGTTCCTTCCTTCCTTCCTTCCTTCCTTCCTTCCTTCCTTCCTTCCTATTTTGATATAAGATCTCACTAGGTAGCCCGTGTTGGTCTGGAATTAATTATATAACCCAGTCTGGCCTCATGCTCATATTCCTGTTTCAGCCTCCTAAGCGTTATAGTCACAGGCACACATCATAGTTTTAGTTCTTATATTTAGGCCTTTCATCCATATGACATTAATTTTTATGCATGGTATATAAATGATCTGTTAGTCTCTTCTGAGATGGAGAAATCAAGTGTATTTGGAGAAGATTGGCATATATAAAATTCTTTCCTCCCCCATGAGCCCTTGTACCCTGATTTCTTTCTCTTTTAGCTGGTTGAGGCAGTTTCTCCCTGTGTAGCCCAGTCAGGCCTTAACCTTCTTACCATTCTGTCAGAGTGCTTCAGGTTCTGGGATTACAGCCATGCCTTCCACATACCTGCTTCCAGTGCTTCTCACACACTTACAGTCCTTTGAGTGCTGGATGGGGAGAGTCAGTGGATAGGACACTTAGCTACAGTGTTGTGGTTAGAATAAGAGTTTCAGCGATAATGTAGTTTTCTTTTGAAAATACATTAGAGGAAAATTTAATTCTTGTGTGGACTGTAAAGGTAACCTGTATGAGTTTTGGAGCATTTCTTTATTACTGCTGTTATGAGTGGAGAGTGAGATTTTATGGTATTATCATGTTAAGATTAAGGCTAACAAGGGAATCTAGACAAAATGCCAGCTACAATGCATGTTGTTATAGAAGGACCATTGGAGGCTTGTTAGTTTCTAGCTTAGGTGAGAAAATGGGAGCCCCAGGTTCAGGAAGAGACCTTGCCTCAAAGAAATCTGCAGGAAGTGGTAGAGGAGGACACCTGATGTCCTCTTTTGTCTCTGTGTACAGAGACCTACCTGTACATACATGTGCATATATAATCACAAAGACATACAATCACAAATTTAAAACCTTTCTTTTTTTTTTTTTAAATAAGAAAATCACGTGTATGAATGCTTGTCTGCATGTATATATATATGTATCACATATGTTTGCATGGTGTCCAATTGTCCAAAGGAGGGCATTGGATCCCCTGGAACTGGAACTACAGATGGTTGTGAACCACCATGTAGGTCCTGGTATTTGAATCAGGTTGTCTGCCAGAGCAACCAGTGTTCTCAACCTCTGAACCATCTCTCCAGCCCGAAATAAACCTTCTTTAGGGAAGAAAGAGGCTGGAGTGGCAGCTCACTCACACACACCTTTTGTCTAGCTTGGTCTTCATAGTGAGTTTCAGGCCATCCAGAGCTGTATAGTAAGTCACTATCTTAAAAGAAAACAAGGAGGAATGCCAGGCGGTGATGGTGCATGCCTTTAACCCCAGCACTCAGGAGGCAGAGGCAGGTGGATCTCTGAGTTTGAGGCCAGCCTGGTCTATGGAGCAAGTTCCAGGAAAGGTGCAAAGCTACACAGAGAAACCCTGTCTCAATTCCCCCGCCTCCCAGAAAAGGGTGATGGTGGTAATAAGGCTAACAAACAGATATATGCATATTTTCTCCTTTTCCAGGTTCTCAGCTGCTACGGGAGTTGAAAAAGATGGATGATAAAGCCCTCTTGGTGGAAGTACAGCTTTTAGAAAGCAAAACATACCATGCTTTGAGTAATCTGCCGAAAGCCCGAGCTGCCTTAACCTCTGCTCGAACCACAGCCAATGCCATCTACTGCCCCCCTAAATTGCAGGCAACCTTGGACATGCAGTCAGGTAAGAGGCATAAGGGTGAGTAGAATGCATTTCCTTAGCCCTTGCCTTATCTTATGGGTGAAAGGAACGGGGTGGGTGGAGTGGGGCGGGGCTGAAGCTGGGAAACAATTGGCTGATTTAACAAACTAGAAGGCCGCTTTTCTAACCAGCTTCTTCCTATTAACTGCCTTAAATAATGAAGAACCTAGTTATCAGTGCAACCTGGCTGTCCGAGCCATACCTTAGGGGTCTCACTTAATTTATCTTAGTCACTTACTAAGAATGGTAGCATTTGTCTTCCAGACTGGCCTACCTTATGTATGTTTACCAAATCTAGTCTCTTGGAGACTTTTGGAAGCTCGTAGGATTTTTTGAATGGGCTTCATGTCAGGACTGTTGGAAGATAATCTTAATTTCAGATGTTCTGTCTTTACACTTGAACCTTGTGTGCAAATGCCTATGCATCCTTCTGGATCCAGTTTAGCTGTCTCTTCTGCAGACTTCCTTTGTTCATTCTTTGTTTTTTACACAGGGTCTCATTGTGTAGCTCTGGAACCAGGTTGGCCCTCAACTCACAGGCTCACCTCTGCTGCCTCCCCTGTTTTTGCTTTTGAACTAACTTACCAAAATATAATTTTAAAATTTTTTTAAAGATTTATTTTTATTTTACATGAATGGGTGTTTTGCCTGCATGTATGTGTGTGTACTTCATATGTGCCTGGTGGCCAAAGAGGCCAGAAGGGGGTTCCTAGAACTGGGGTTACAGATGGTTGTGAGCCACCATGTGGGTGCTGAGAACTGAATCCAGGTTCTCTGCAAGAACAGGTACTCTCTCCAGTTTCCCAAAATCTGATCTTTTGTACACACTATCATACTAAGATCCATAGGAGCCTTGTCTGTATATTTTCTGCTTGGCACATGGAAGGCTCCTTTTAATGTTGATGTTGAATGACTAGGTTTTTGCTTTTAAAAGTAAACATGGCTGAGCAGTTAGGAGTGCATTGGGCAGCCTATAATTCCAGCTCTAGGGAATTTGATGTTGTCTTTTGGCCTTTCTGGGCATCTGCACAAACACTCAGATACATAAATAAATGAAAAAATAAATATGAAAAAAAAAAGTAAACATATGCCAACAATAATACTTCTCTTGCTAATGTTTTCAAGAAAACAGCATATTTGTTTTTGGGGCTTTGTTTTCTCTTCCCTCCCTCCCTCCCTCCCTCCCTTTTTAAAGATAATGTCCTGCATTATGGCTTTGATCTTGGAATTCTTCCTCATCTTCCTGAGTGCTGGGGTTATAAGCATGTAACCCTATGGTGCCCTGATCACTTTTCCCCCACAACCAGATTTATTGGACTGAATTATTCTGCCCTATTGGTATACTGGGAAATATGGGGAAATTCTGATATTCATTAAGCTTGACAGTTTTAGCAGTTTGTTGTATCTTTCTCCTCCTCCTCCTCCTCCTCCTCCTCCTTCTTTTTAAGATTTATTTAGAGCTGGGCAATTGGGCAGTGGTGGCACACACCTTTAATCCCAGCACTGGAGAGACAGAGGAAGGTGGATCTCTGTGAGTTTGAGACCAACCTAGTCTGCAGAGTGAGTTACGGGACAGTTAGGGTTATTAAAAAGAGAAACCTTGTCTCAAAAAAACAAAAACAAACAAAAAGATTTATTTAGTTCTATTTTATGTGTATGGGTGTTTTCCTGCGTGTATAATCTATGCACCACATGTGTGTCTGGTGTCCACGGAGGCTAGAAGAGGGTGTTGGATCCTCTAGAACTGGAGTTGCATGGTTGTGAGCTACCACGTGTATTCAGGGTCTTGGACTCAAGTCCTCTGGAAGAGCAGTCAGTGCTCTTAACTGTCTCTGCAGCTCCAGTTTATTGTGTCTTGAGGGAGTGTTCGTTGGCTGTAGAGGGGTATATGTTTTCTTATAGGCCTCTTTAGTTAAGAACTGTTAATAAAAGGATTTGACTCTTCCCTCAAAATAGGAGACTGTGGGTAAGGTTATAGGTAAAGATAGAGGTCCTTAGTTAAAGGTTAAGCCGGAGTTTACAGCCACTGTGCATTGGGTCCCAGGTGCTACAGGTGAAACAGTGGTTTTCTGGGGTCCAGTTTAGCAGCTTCTTCATCCTTTTACTCTCATCTGCTAAGTACTTTTATATCTTGATCTGAAGAATGTAGGGAAGCATTGTGGTAGATGGGTGGGGCCCAGGTCTTCAATGTTATAAAGGGGAGTTAAGCTAATGTTAAGAGAGAAGTGCTTCTTAGTCTGTGGGGTACTGATTTCCATGTCATTCCAGGTGAGAGTAGGGGCGGATGTAGTCATTTCAACCAACATTAAGCTCACCAGGAGCAACCAAATTGGGATGAACTTTCGATATTAGCCTAAAGAAATACTGGTTAGCCATGTGCAGCTGTTTATGGATTTATACACTGATTGCATATAGGCAGAAGCATATCCAAAAATGAGGTATATTTGAAAAGAAAGTAATAAACATGTTGGGGAAGATTGCCAATTAGGAAAGCTGCTTCAGTATGAAAATTCTAAATTTAGCTAGGTGTGGTAGCACACACCTTTAGTCCCAGCATTGGAGGTAGAGGGAGCCAGCCTGATCTACATAATGAGCTGCAGGACAGCCAGAGCTACATAGTAAGACCCTGCCTCAAAAAATTAAACAAAAAAAGAAAAAACTCAGCATAGAAAAAGCTACGTTAATGATTATTTTTTGTTTTGTCTTGTTTTGAGATAGGGTTTCTCTATATAGCCCTGGCTATCCTGGAACTTGCTCAGTAGACCAGGCTAGCCTCAGACTCCGAGATCAACCTGTCTCTTCCTCCCAAGTGCTGGGGTTAAAGGCATGCGCCACTATCACCTGGCATGATTCTTCTTTTTTATTTTAATTTTGTTGCTTTGCTTTTGAGCTATAATCTCATAAAACCCAGAATGGGTTTGTAGCTGAGGATGACCTTGAACTTGTGATCTTCCTGTTTCTACCTCCAAGTGCTAAGATTACAGATGTTTGACACCATGTACAGTTTATTCAGTGCTGGGGCTTGAACACAGGGCTTTGTCTGTGCTAGTCAAGCATTTTACTAATTGTACTATATCCCAGCTCAGAGTTGATGTTATTAATTGAGGTCATTCAAGTGGTCTGGGCATGTGTGGGTCAGTTCACTGGCTTCTGCAGGTGATACCATGGAGGCTAAACATTTGTTCCAATGGTGGTAGGAATAGGTGGTGAGAATCATAGGGAAGACAATACAGTGTGCAGTTTCTAGGGCTTCTTTTGAATTGGGTTTCTTACTCTTTTGGGAATTTAAAAAAGGTGGTACTGAGCAGAGGCCAGAGACCTGGGGCTCTACTGTCAGCTCTTAGGAGCTGGCTGTGACTGGGCAGTTTCTTTGTTTTCACTTGATGCTGTTGGGGTCAGTTTCTAAGGCTTTTTACAGCTCTCCCATGGCTCTGCTATTTTATATGGTTTTCTTCTCTCATTTCTCTGTCCAGGCATTATTCATGCAGCAGAGGAGAAGGACTGGAAAACTGCTTACTCATACTTCTATGAGGCATTTGAAGGCTATGACTCCATTGATAGCCCCAAGGCTATCACATCTCTGAAGTACATGTTGTTGTGCAAAATCATGCTCAACACGTAAGTGTGCATTAACCAAGTCTGCTAGAGCAGAGGTGGCTTGGGCAGGGAGTTGGGCCACTTACAGATGCAGCTCTAGCTGCAGGTTTAGGGGCCGGTTGACATAGAGTGGGTGGTCAGAAGTGTTCCACATCACTTTTGCTTGCTAGTGTTTCAGACAGATTTTAGAAACTATTTAACTGAGCTGGGAGGGGTGGCGCATGCCTTTAATCTCAGCACTAGGGAGGCAGAGGCAGGCGGATCTCAGTGAGTTCAAGGCCAGCCTGGGCTACAAAGCGAGTTCCAGGACAGCCAGGGAAACCCTACCTCAAACAAAACAAAACAAACAAACAAACAAACCAAAAAACAAAAACAGGAAGAGAGAGACAGACAGACAGACACAGAGACAGACAGAGACAGAGACAGAGAGACAGAAAGGAAGAAAGAAAGAGAAATTACTTAACTGGGAAATTTTCTTGGAGAATTTCTCAATCTTCAAATATTCTGTCCTCACAGGTATTGAGCACAGGACAGAGCTCAGGAAATAGCTGATAGGCCAGTGTTAGTCAACTGGCCACCCAGAATGGGGAACATGGAGCCCAGTAAATATTTGAAAAAGTGGACTATAAAAGGCATGATAATAAATTGTGGTAGGGACTGAACCCTATGTCCCTAACTTAGAGTTGTGATTTTAAAATTTTCTTAATTGTATATTTGTATTTATTATTGTTATTGTTGTTGCTGTTATTATTATAATTATTATTTGAGGGGGTATTTCAGGGGACACAGGATCTCATGTTGCCCAGGCTGGCATTATCTTTTTTTTCCTTTCCACTGGCCTCAAACTCATAGAGATCTGCTTGCTTCCTAGATGGAGGGATTAAAGGTGTGTGCCACCACCTCCCGGCCTTAACTTTTTTTAAAATATATTTTTGAAATTTGTTTTTATTATATTGTACATGTTTCTTTGCACATTTGTTTCTCCGGAATGTATATCTGTGCACCACTTGGATGCCTTGTGTCCAGAAGGCCAGAAGAAGGCATCAGATCTCCTGAAACTGGAGTTAGAGATACCTGTGAGCATCCGTGTAGGTGCTGGGAATTGAACTCAGGTCCTTTGCAAGAGCAACAAGTGCTCTTAACAACTGAAACATTTCTCCAGCCCTGCTCTTAACTTTTTATCTTGATGGCACATTTCTGCCTTCTAAAGTGTTGGAATTGCTTCCCAGTGCTGGAAAGTAAACCCAGGGCTTAAGGTATGTCAGGCAAACACTACCAACTGAGCTACATCCCAGCCCCAGGGTTGTGTTTTCACAAGACCCATTATGCTGAGATTTGACTCAGACTTACTATTCTGCCTGTTATTTTTGGGGTTGGGGGTGGGATTCATTTGGTCTTTCTTCCCTTTTTTTGCGATAAGATCTCACTATGTTGTCCAGGCTGGCCTTGAACTCATAGAGATCTGCCTGCCTCTGCCTCCATAAGTTATATGTTACCACACTCAGCTGCCCTCTCTTTAATTTTGGGAGGTTTTTATTTTTCACTTTTAGCTTTGGCCGAGGGTAAAGAAAACCTGACTTCTGCAGTGTTGGGACATTTGGGTTTAGTTGATTTTTCAATGTGGATGAGTTTTCACAATGCAGTTCTGGTAAATAGTTCACCTAACTATGATTAGAATTGCGATGTACTGGAGTAGTTGACCAAATATATCTTTTTTTATTTTTTATTTTTTTGTAGCCCAGAAGATGTCCAGGCTTTGGTGAGCGGAAAGCTTGCACTTCGGTATGCAGGGAGGCAGGTAGGGAATATTGTGACTGCAATTCTATTCTGAGCCCAGCTTATTGTCAAATTCATGATGTTTGATGGGACCAGTGTTCTTCAGGTCTCCATCCTGCCTTCCTTACCCCTTGTCTTCTTCCCTTAGGCTCACTTATTGGGCTTTGTTGAAGTAAGTGTTGAGCTCTGTTATAGACATAGGTAATTTGAGGGGCTTACAGAAATACATTGTAGCACTTGCTGGTAGGTTACAATTTGTCTTTGTCAGATCTTCCCGTTGTGAGTCTGGCTTGTAAATATAATGGGTGAATCTCACATCTTGATTCTCTTGAGTCAGAAGCCTGGTTAGATCTGGTACATGTGTGCTTGCAGGGAGGCCAAACTACTTGGTGTAAGAACTAGATTTTGGGGCTGGAGAGATGACTCAGAGGTTAAGAGCACTGACTGCTCTTCCAGAGGTCCCGAGTTCAATTCCCAGCAACCACATGGTGGCTCACAACCACCTATAATGAGATCTGGTGCCCTCTTCTGGCCTACAGGGACACATGCAAGCAGAATGCATGTAATTAATAAATAAATAAATCTTAAAAAAAATAATAATTAAAAAAAAAAGAATAGATTTTGAGTATTTCTCAGCTTATTATTATTTTCCGTTCATACCATGAATTTGAGTATAGTTTAAAAGGTGGACTTTGATAGTTGGTCATCCTTTTTATATTTGAGTAGATATGAATGACTTTTTAGAGCACACAGTTGTAAGGATGATTTCTCAGATATTTGTCCTATCTGCTTTTTGTTCTTTGGCTGTCATAGTTAAATAAAAGCAGTCATTCTGAATAATATAGTTGTCTCTAAACAATGAACAGATTAGCTATCTCCCTAAATCTGTGGAGTACTGTTAACAAAAACGGATTTCCTCTTTCTCTGTAAGTCATCATAATTGGTTTTTCCTTCACTAAAAGTTTCAAGTCAGTTTAGTTCTGATGTTGGGACTACTGGCTTTTATGTAGACACTTTTCTTACAAGAACTGGAGTTGAAGCCAGGCGTGGTAGCTAGCGTATGCCTTTAATCCCAGCATTAGGGAGGCAGAGGCAGGTAGATCTCTGAGTTCTAGGTCAGCCAGGGCTACATAGTAAGACACTGCCTCAAAACAAACAAACAAAAAAACCCCAAAAAAAAAAAAAAAAAAAAAAAAAAAAAAAAAAACCCCCCCCCCCAAAAAAAAAAAATAACAAACTGGAGTTGTAGAGTTGAGACAAGATCTGTAAGTATTTAGAAAAAGGATAGGTAGCTAAGAATGGTGGACGAAGATTTTGAACTTTGGTCATCATTATGCTGGAGACAAACTCTGCTCCTGGAAGCCTTGTGCCATTTAGTCTGCCACTAGACTTACTATCCTTCCTCATGACACAAGGAGCTGCCTCTGTTGCCTTGTGCCTCAGTGACAGCTTTCCAGAGAAGCCAGGCTGATCTAGAAAGATGGGTGCTGGGGGAGACTTGATAGTTGGAGGGATCCTTTCATAGCCAAGTTAGAAGCTTCTCTTGGTCCTTTCACATTCAGTTTTGGCATGATACAGGGTTTTAATATTCAGGTGTGATGTGTGGACTATTCATGCCTGAACCCCAGGCCGACCTCGCTCACTTGCTCACTCACTCACTCAGTATCTTGTATCAAAGCTAGCAGAGTGAACCTTGATAAAGCCCAGGGATTATTGGGTTTGAGGACAGAAAGAATTGGGTGGACGTGGAGATAAGAAATCTTGGAGTAAGGAGAAAGAAATCACAGTTCTCTTGTTATTTTCTCTTTTAGCTTCATTCTCTAGAGAATCCTTATCCGGGTCTATCCTTTTGGGAAACTTCTATTTAAGTCACTTCACATTTCAAAGGGAAACTGGTTGGCATGCAGTGATATTCAATACTTCTGGATTTTCTTCCAAGGCCTCTTAAAAAAGAGTGGTGGAGGGGACAAGTTATTGTTTTTCTAACAGAAGGTGCTTATGACCTTGGGTATGTGTGAACATGTAGGATAGATCACTTTTATGATTTTTTTATTTTTTATTCTCAGACAGAAGCATTGAAATGTGTGGCTCAAGCTAGCAAAAACAGATCACTGGCAGATTTTGAAAAGGTGAGCATGGTATTGAATTGGTGAGGAATGGGTGGAGAAGAAGGCCATTCAGCTGGGCAGTGGTATCATCCCAGAATTTGGGAGGCAGAGGCAGGCGGAATTCAGGGATCTTTGTGAGTTCAAGGCCAGCCTGGTCTACAGAGGGAGTTCCAGGAAAGCCAGGATTGTGCAGAGAGAACCCTGTCTCAAAAAACAAAAACAAACAAAACCCAAAAAAAGTTGCAAAGATATTACATGTTGATTCCATGTGCTTTTCACCCAGAACCACATCAAAACCAGGAAATAGTTTGTATAGTGAGGGGAGTGGAGTGTTGAGCTGTATTCAGTTCATTTATGTATATTTTTTAATTTCAAGAGTTGTCATTCGGAACTGGAGAAATGGTTCCCAGGTTAAAAGCACATGCTCTTACAGAGGACCTGAGTTCCATTCCCAGTTCTCTCACAGGGCAGCACATACCTCCTATCTCTCTAGTCCAGGCATATCCTAACCCTCTGGACTCTGGGCACCTGCACTACCTGGGCATGCATATACCTGCAGGTGCCCGGGCATGAGCGTGCGCACATATACACACACAGATTAAAGAAAAGCTGTCATTCAGTTTCGCACAATAAAGTTACTTACCTCTACTCTGTGGCAAAGTGGTAATCGGGGATGCCCAAACCACACAATAATCATGTCTTGTGGCCTAACTGTAGGCCTCGTTCTTCCACACAGAACAGCTGTGGGTATCCCAGGCCTGCTTTGTACTCTGTGAGCAAAAGAGAAGTTTTTGTTTTGTTTACTTGTCTTATTTTCATTTATTTATTTTTGGTTTTTTGGTAGATAGGGTTTCTTTGTGTAACAGCCCTGATTGTCCTGGAACTCACTTTGTAGACCAGACTGGCCTCAAACTCATAGAGATCTGCCTGCCTCTGCCTCTTGAGTGCTGGGATTAAAGATGTGTGACAGCATGCCTGGTACTTGGTTTATGTTTTGAGAACTCAACAGCAGTCCTGCCTCATTGTTCCAAGTGAGGGGATTATAAGTGTGAGCCATTACCTAGCTCTCAGAGAGAAACTTCAGGATGATGCTGTCAGCTTTCTTTTGCTCATTGGGAAGATTCAGAATGGGAGAAACACTTTTAAGCTTTAGGATGAGTCTTGTGTCTTTTCTGAACTGGTGTTCTCTTAGTCTGAGTTTAGTAATCAACTTAAAAACCAGACCTAAGCTAGGCGGAGGTGGCTCATGCCTTTAATCACTCAGGAGGCAGAGGCAGGCTGGTCTCTGTCTACAGAGTGAGTTCCAGGACAGCCAGGCTGTCACATGAAGAAACCCTGACTCAAAAAAACAAGAAACAAACAAACAAAAAAAAAAAAAACCAGACCTAGATCTGCAATAAGAACTATTGTAAAACTGGGCAGTGGTGGCACACACCTTTAATCCCAGCACTTGAGAGGCAGGTGGGACTCAGAGTTTGAGGTCAGCCTGGTTTATACAGAGTTCCAATCCAGCCACAGCTGCATGTTGACACCCTGTCTCAAAAAACAATCTACCAAACAAAACAAAAACAAAAAACCAGATACTTGGAGACAAGGGCCACATGGCTTTGACCTTCCATGTTAGTCATTATTTTATCGGTGCCTCCCTATTACTAGTTAGTATGATTTGTCTGCTTTTAGTACTGTACAGCAGAGCCAACATGAGGCTGGGACATTGAAATCATTACTAAAGATAAATGGATCAGTTACTTTAAAATAGTCTATAATTTTGTCATAAAATGTTTGATGGAATACTTTTACTCATGGCTCTTCTGTGATCAGATACTTGGGAAACATTAAAGCAAAACAGAATGAGAAAGGCGTTTTGCTTCCTTTGCCTGCAGAGCCATATTGTGCTGTTCTCACCAAGCTCTTAGGAGCTACTGATTTCTTATTATTTAATCTCAGAATTCTTTGAAATATATGCTGAAAAATAGGTGTGCAGTTCATTTGGCCTCTAAGTAGAGGGTGTAGGCTTACATGATTAAACTTTAGGACAGGAAGGTGGTAGCTTCATGCTTTAGTTGTTCATGCACTCCAGATCGCCCATATATGTACATGTACACACACACACACACACACACACACACACACACACACACCTCAACCATATAGTCCCTAGGGCCAGTAGACTTCTCAAGAGGCTAGGAATAGTGACTTTAAGGTATTGTGACGGTCTCTGGTATGAGCTTTGTTTTGCAGGCCTTGACAGACTACCGGGCAGAGCTCCGGGATGACCCAATCATCAGCACACACTTGGCCAAGTTGTATGATAACTTACTGGAACAGAATCTGATCCGGGTCATTGAACCTTTTTCCCGAGTACAGGTAAGACTCTTCCTGGGAATTTTCTTAACAGTTTTGGGCTACATGTTATAGCTGTAGCCACCTCCTTTTCCATATTTGCCCAAATAGAAACTCACTTTCAAGGGTATGTCTGTTGGTAAGAGGCCAGCAAGGGCTTGGACTTGTCTGGATGGGAAGTGAATCAAGGAGGTGCTGGTGGAGTAAAAGGAGGTGCTGGTGGGGTAGGAAGAGGTGCTGGTGGGGTAGGAGGAGGTGCTGGTGGGGTAGGA